AGGCAGAAAGAATGGTGTCTACACAAAACTGAGAAGTAAGTACCCAGGCCTCATAGGCTGGCATTGTCTAAACCATAGGTTGGAGTTGTCTGTGTCAGATGCAGTCAAGCACTGCACCGAAACCAACCACTTCACAGCTTTTCTTGACAAGCTATACTGTCTCTATCATCAGTCACCAAAGAACTTAAGAGAGCTTGATGCTGCAGTCTCTGAAGTGGGTGTATGCTTGAGGAAGATTGGTCGCGTCCTCGGGATAAGGTGGGTGGCTTCATCTTTTAGGACAGTAAATGCTGTTTGGACCATGTATGCTGCACTCTATCATCACCTCACATCTGCAAGTGTAGATGTGAACCGTTCCTCAAATGATAGATGCATGTATGAGGGGCTAGCAGCAAAGCTGACGTCAGTTGCTTTTGTTAAAAACCTGGGACTGATGATGGATGCACTTGAGGAGCTGAAAGACCTGTCTGAGGCTCTACAGTCGAGAGACATTAGACTGTCTCAATCAGTAAATCTGATCAAAAGACAGCTAGATGTTTTTAAAACCATGAGCAGGAACCCAGACAGTGGTCTGTTCTACAAAATCGCATGTGAGGCAGAGCAGCAAGGTGTTTTTAATGGCATAACACTACGCAATGACCCAAGGCAGAAGATAATAGATCCCACAAAGTTTTATGCAGCACTATGCAAAAGCATGGAAACAAGGATGGTCACAAGTGAAGAGGAATCCCTCTTTCAAAAGGTCAATGTTCTTGATACAAAGACATTGCCAAGCCCTCTACCATTAATGTATGGTGAGTGTGAAATAAGAGAGCTATGCACTCTTTTGAAAATCGGATTCTCTGGTGTTAAGCAAAGTTATAGGGACTTTAAGGAGAATGCCAGTGTGCCGATGCACATGTCCCTTCTAAAGCTTAAGAATGCAGTGGAAACCATTGCTGTGAGCAGTGCAGAGTGTGAGAGGGGTTTCTCAGAAATGAATGCAGTTGTAACATCAATGCGCTCACAACTGAAAACTCAAAATGTCTCTGCTCTAATGTTCATTCAAATGGTTGGACCTCCTCTTACCTCTTGGGACCCCACGAAATATGTGAGGAAGTGGGTGGCTACCAGAAGGTCTGCAGACCATTTAGCCTGTAGACAAAGATGCACGACTACACAGGCTTCCCCCTATCAGCCCATCTGGGATTTGATGAAGTAGCTGGTCGTACATACAGTAATGTTGTTGAACTGCTTATATTGATGTGGACTTTCATTCCTCAATCAGTTCAGATAGGGTAATGTCTCTGTACTCATATCGTTTTTTTTTAATGTTCTTGAGTAAGTGTGCAGAGAAATGTTGACTTAAAATGGCAATTTGAAGGTCTGTAATTTGTGAAAAATGTTTGTGTATATATTAATAGTTTCAAATGTAAATTCATTCCAGTTAAATAATACTAATAAAAAGACGGTCTAATTAACATACTTTCTATGTTTACTGTCTCGATTGGTGGCATCAAATAGTGCATCTGATACAGGAGCAGTTGCTCCCCCCCCCCCCCAAAAAAAACACAGCCCCCCCACATGTCAAATCCCAATTTAACCCCTGCTTGTATCCATGTTGAGGGTGAATGACACACAGCACAGGCACAATCTGGCAGCGGGGTGCACTGATGCTGATAGTGGATCAATAAGTAGGTGGACTGTGCGTGATGCTGAAATAGCCAACATGCGGTTTGTGGTTTGAAAAAAATAACACCAGCTCACTAAATCATTCAAACGTAATGTTTACTTATATGTGAACAGTAACAAAGTTCAGTCAAAACATTGACAACAAAATCGGAGAAGTCGCTTGATCATGGAGGGCGAGGGGTGGTGGTGCATATGCTGCCACCCCAGTTGGCAGCTTTGTTTTGAAAGAAAAGTTTTGGCTCATCTGACATTTATGAGAGAAAATCCCTAATGTCCGAGTGCAAGTGAATGCAGCACAAGACGCGAGCCTTGTAACCCCTCCCCCGGCCCTGGCGCGAGCATGGAAATGTGATTGTCATTTGAAAGGGACGGGGCAAAACGAGAAGCATTTGGTCTACAATGACAGAGAAGAGACTGTCAAGTTTGGCTGTACTCAGCATTGATTCAAAACTCACTAAAGCTTTGGATCTTAATAAGCTTGTGAGCAGTGGCGGACTGGCCATCTGTAGAATCTGGAGAATCACAGAACGGTGTTACCGTTTAACTGGTGACACCGGGGAACTCGTGACGTTCTATAACGGCAGGAATGTGTCAGGGGCGTGTACTTTGAGGAGCCACGGATAACCAGGAAATACACATTTCGATCGCTTCTTCTGTTGTTTACATTTATCTTTTGGTATATTTGGCTCCATAGGAAAACTTTGATGCACATTCAGTACCAGTGTGTGAGGTTGTGGTTGCGATGCCGATATCCGGACGCGTACAGCGAGGACTACACATCGACAATGAGGTGACTGGGGATGTCTGTTCAAAACATTGCAAACGTGAATAAATCATTTCAAATATATATTTGTCTCCGACTTTCATTTGTACATCGTTGTTAATGTGATGTTTAGTAGCTTTGATAGCTGTCCATACCTTCAGACAGCCTAAAAGTAAGACACAAGTTGTTTACTCACAGCCCGAATGCAGCATCGAGATCCGTGGCAAGCTGTGATCCTCTCCGATTAAGTTGTGACAGGACTTCTGTAGCTATTCTCCAGCGAGTAAGGTTTTTATTAAATACCTCCATCCCTCTCATCACAACAACAACACTCTATACTGTGAGGAAAAATACAAAATAAATGAAATTAACCTTGCTGGATAGCTTAGAATGAAACAAACAATCGTCCATGGCTGATATGTCACAGTAACGGGTAAACCACAGAAAAGTCGAGCGGGACACAAGTTGAATCCATATGATGAAATTGTTATTTTATATGTATATATATATATATATATATATATATATATATATATATATATATATATATATATATATATATATATATATATATATATATATATATATATATATATATATATATATATATGCTATATATATATATACAAATACTGTAGATGATGATTGTTGAAAATGCACTTTTACCATAAAACGCCAGCACGACCAGTTGGTTGAGGCTCATAAAAACACAACTGTGTAGTCAGTCAAAAAAAAAGTAGTTTGTGGTAGTTTGTGTCCCATTTGATAAAAAAATGCAAACAAATAATTGTTCCATAGATTTTTTCTTGGTCTGGCAATTAAAGGGTTAAGCCTATATGTTTAAGCAATTATGTCTGCCTTCCCCGTCTTGCACCATTAGGACCCACTGATATAAAATGCTTAACTGCCTAAGTTGCAACTATGCACTTTGTGGTGGGCTAAGCGCCAGCTTCACATATTTTTGGCTACATTTAAAGTGCCCAAATGTAAGTTTAGATATTATGCAATGCAAAGTTTTTCTTGGCCTACATCAGTGTTATAGAAGGAAAGACAACAGTGATAGTTATGTTTCAGAATAACATTTATTGGAAATTGTTGGAAAAATATCACTTTTCACCAGCTTGAGCTTCAATCTCAGGATCCATGTATCTGTGATCCTCTCCAGAATGGAAGTAGTCATCACATACAGAGCATCAACTAGTTCCTGAACAGTGTCCTTCACATGCTGATATCCAAGAGAGGGAGTTACACAGTCACAAGATGGAGGAATAGAAAGCAGTATTCAATGTTTACTTCAGATTAGCTCCACGTCAGAAATGATCATGCTTGTCATATGTCTATCTCCATAGAGGCTGAATCATCATGTTAATCACATAGCTATCATATGCCTAAAGGGAGGCATGTGGGTTAGTGCGTTGGTGTTCGGATCAGGGACACTTCACCCCAAATTGCTCCTGTGGGGATTGTCCACAGTATTGAGTATGTAACTCGCTTTGGATAAAAGCGTCTAACAAGTAACATGTAATGTCATGTAAAACAGTCCTGATGCTCTTCTATTTATTTAATTGTTTATTTGGCAGGGACAATGCACAGTAATGAACACTTAAAACATTAAAATGTATCAAGCATAACAGTGCCAGATTTAGCTTTGAGCTAATTTCCATCCGCAGTCCCTCATATAAAACATTTAAGAAAATTACATTTTACAAACATAGCAAAAACAAAATACATGATATGCAAAAAGTGTAAAAGAGCAAGAGCAGCACACACAAGCATTTACCACATGGCAGTACAATATAGCAGCAACGACATATAAAGTGCAAGAGAAGATAAAAGTGCTACCTAAAGTGCAAGAGGAGATACCCCTGTGTTAAAGTGCATTTAGCGGTGATTGCACGTTTGTTTGTTTCTTAAACATTCTTTGAGTTGACCTTTAAAACTATTGAGAGTGGGACAATCCCGTATCTCAGTATAGGCTGTTCCAGAATGAGCTGCCTTTATTGGAGAGGACATTTTGTCCAAAAGTGGTCCGTCTGCGGTGGACTTCACAGTCTCCTCTGGTTTCTGACGTAGTGCAGCGTCCAGTGTGTTTTTTGTGGATGAATTCCCCTAAGGGAGGGGGGGGCAGTCCATGTAAACATTTATAAATAAAACACATACTTTTAAAAGACTTAAAATTGTCAAAACTCAAGAAATGGTGTTTCTCAAGGATGGCACAGTGGTGGTATGAATAAGGCTTTCTGTCAAACACCTTGATAGCTCTCTCTCACAGTTGTTCTATAGGTTTCAGGTTTGTGGCACAAGCAAACGACCAGTTTGTAAAACAGTATTCAATATGGGATAGAATCATACAGTGGAGGTATGACTTTGCAGCATTGAAAGTTAAGAAAGGTCACATTTGTTTAAAATGTTGCAAGTTGAATTTAATGGTATTGGATACTTTCTTAATATGTTTCGTAAAAGTCAAGTTCGAGTCCAGTATGACTCCAAGATACTTGAAGTGGGGGATAATCGTGATAATAAATAATAATAATAATAATCGTGGTTTACAGATGGCTCCCGAACACATATCATGTGGTACCACAGAGTGCACCCAGTGCACTCAATCTTAAAAGAAACAGAAAAAACACATGTTAGAATATTGACAAACCTTTTTTTTAAGGTTAACATCACTCATCCAGAGTAAGCAGTAATAAAGTTGTTTACATTTAATTAAACAAGCAATGTATAGGTTGGGATCTTAGCTGTTATCCTTTCTGTTTAGAGTCCGTGCTCAGAAGTTTCTTCAACTGCTCCAGTGTCCTCCCATAGTGCAAAGGCATGCAAGTTTGGTGAATTAACGTAAACATTTTCAATACCTGTTATAGTGAGTGTTCACCCAGTGATGTAGAGGTAACCAATCCATGGTGTATCCCAGTCTTCCAGACAAATGTTGGTCTGGAAATTAATACAACTTCTTACCCATTGGTCAACCTTAGGCCCTGAGTTACGTTCCCCACAGGCCCGACACAGCTGGGATAGGTCATCTGTAAAAACAAAGAAAAAGATAAGAAATACAGGCATTAAGGTAGTGAAATGCCAAACAAGACACAATATTTCTGTTTCCCTGGTCTAGTCCTTTATACCTGAGTTTTTCACAAGAGCCATTGCCATCTGGAACCTCATTGAGGCCACTCCTTCCAGGTCCACTGGGTACTGGACCTTTTCTTTGAGCAGTATTTGCTCTGCAAGCTTAAAAAGGTCTGTGATTAGTATCTTCGTATTTTTTTTGAAATTACAGATGGATATATATATATATATATATATATATACACATGAGTAAATGTTACCTTGCAAATGAACACACCACATGAAGTGGAATCCTGCTGGATAGGGTGAGTGAGGGTTGAGCAGGCCCATCTCCCAACCGAAGGTCTTTTTTTCCGGACCAGCGATCTACACAGGAAACAGATAGATTGGGTTTTATATATAAGCCCAAGTAAGATACTTTTATAAGTCAAGAAGAGCTGAATGTTCACACATGACAATCTAATGGTATTCAAGTAAACTGTAGTAATCAGGAAAATGATTTATGTGGCTTTGTGTTGCTCCCCCTTAATATAATCCAAAATCATGAATATGTCTAGTAAACACATTAGAGCTTATATTTTATTCACCTTGATAAATCTTTGCATCGGCTTAACTGCTTTTCCTTGGCCCCGAATGGGTCCAAGAACAGTGACCGGTTCTCGTTCAGATACATGATCTATGGAAGTGCAAAGAAAGTATTAAAGTGTTAAATAAATAAAAATGTCTTGACCATTAACATTTTAGATTACTTACAATGAGGGTCCAGTGTGCCCCGTCACAGACAGCTCCGGCTGCCACCTCATGTTTTGACAAGTCCAACTGAAAAATATTTGTACATACATCAGTACATATGTTCAAATAAACACTTATTTCTAGTCCTACTCCACTCACCTTTCTTAACCCTCCCTTGTGGGTTCCTTGCCAGAGGGAAGTCATCAAATACGAATCAAAAATGAATACCCCAGCTTTGGCCCCAATCCACGACAGATAGGCATTCACAATCTATAAATACAACAGTATCTTTTTAACCAATTTGCTAGAGAATTATCAGTTTGCATACGTACATTTTTCTTAGAAAGTAGGCTTACTTCTCCCTCCAACTCCTTTCCCGGGGCCAAGACCAAAAGATCTTCACTGTAGACCTTGTATGGGCCATACTTGGCCCACAGCGTCTCCTTCCTCCTCCCTGCCCATATGTCTCGGATTACTGTAAAAAGAAAACATGTCAGTTATTAATGAAATGCATACTTTGTGGTGTACTTTGTGTCAGTTTACTTACAAGTCTCTTCATCAGACGGAGCCATGCTCTTGGTGGATGTGGAGGTGGAGGTGGTTGTGGAGGTGGTTGTGGATGTGGAGGTGGATGTGGGTGTGGGTGTGGATGTGGAGGTGGGTGTGGGTGTGGAGGTGGATGTGGGTGTGGATGTGGAGGTGGGTGTGGGTGTGGAGGTGGATGTGGGTGTGGGTGTGGAGGTGGGTGTGGGTGTGGAGGTGGAGGTGGAGGTGGGTGTGGGTGTGGATGTGGAGGTGGAGGTGGAGGTCAGTGGACCAGCCAGACGAGAAAGATCCAACCCTTTTTTTTATTTTCGCAGGGATCCTCTCCTCTGGTGTGACATAATGCGACAGATGGTCAATGTTTATTTGCATTGTCTTTCCACCCTTGTCTGCCCCAATGTCCGCTATTTTTCCCTCAATTGTGACAATCCTGTATGGTCCCAACATGTCTGGCTCCAGCTTTCCCCCTTTTCGTTGTTCTAAACGTTTGTTCCTTTTTAGAACTAAATCCCCCACTTGAAAATGGTCGACTTGCCCATGGTCGAGTTTCCTTTTGCGGACGTTCTCTTGGCTTTTTTTGATGTTGGTGTCCACCTCTTTGAAAACTGCCTCCTGTCTTTTCAGTCCCTCGAACAGTTCCTCTTTTTCCACCAAGCTACGGACTTTGTCTTCTGTTATCTGCCACAGAAAACCATTAGAATGTAGAGAAAACATAGATGTTTGAAATAAAAAACATTCTAAAGGATGAGAACATTAGCAGATCTTACTTCGTACTTCTCGGGCACCTCTGACGGGTACCTCGCCTCCCTCCCAAACATGAGATAGTACGGACTGAATTTTGTAGTCAACTGAGGCTTAGTCCTTAGAGCAAACATCGTCCCTTGAAGGAGTTGGTCCCATACTTTCGGCTGACCTGCCACCAGTTTGTTCAGGGACCTAAATTCAGGTAAAGTACAAACACAAGAAGGTCGAACAGAAATTGGTTTCTAATATATGATGAAGCTGCTGATTTATTTACTCTTGTTGTTTTAGGTATCAATTCTGATTAGTTAATATAGGAACAGTAATGTTTGTTATTCTATGAACAAATATACCTTTGTATTGTGCCATTTAATTTTTCTACCAGCCCATTGGTTTGTGGGTGGTATGGCGAGCACAGGCTTCTTTTGATGCCAAGCCTCTCACAAAGGTTATAGTTGATCTTGAAGTGAACATTGGGACAAACAGGAAATAAGTTTGTTAGCATAGCACAGTTACATAATGGGGAGTCATAATTCTAAAAGTAGTACCTTATTACAAAATTCCCCGCCTTGATCTGTTAGCAGTCTTTTAGGTGCACCAAATTTGTAAAAGAAATCAATAATACACTTGGTCACCTCATCTGCTGTTTTATTTTTAAGTGGGTATGTCTCTGCCCATTTGGTGTAATAATCAACCATGACACAAATGTATTGATTGCCACCATCGGTTACTGTGAGTTTACCCACTAGGTCCATCCCGACAAGCTCCAGAGGCTCTGTTACCTGAGATGAAAAAAATACACATGAGCATTGCAGTACATTACTGTTGACATGTTTGAAAGCTGAAACTGTCTTCAAATGTTTCCTTGTACCTCTATAGGAGTGTACTCGACCTTCTCCTTGATAAAGGCCCTCTTTGACTGGCACTGGGGACACTGAAGAACCTGAACCAAAAAACACACTATAAACTTTTCTGTGTTGCACTTTTGTACCATAATGTGTAATTTACCTCATTATTTTGAACTCACCCACTTGCGGATATCCTCCTCCATGCCAGGCCAATAATATCTTAGAATTATAGCCTGATGTGTTTTTTCTCTTCCAAAATGTCCACCAATGTGGCTGTCATGGAATTCCTCAAATACATCATTGGCTTCTTTGGCTGACACCACGACCTTGGCGAGGTGCTCTGCAAAAAATGTTTTCCTCCTGCATATGTAGTGCAGTTCCCCATCTGGTATTGAAATGTCATAATTATACATGTATTGAGAGTGTTATCATAGCAGATGATGTTCTGAAGACCACATGTCTGACATTGTTACCTATAATCCTGAAGGTCTCTGCTCGTCGCTTGATAACAAACCTCTGTGTTCTGTTCAAGCCATCAGGATAAATGTTGTGGATCAACAAATCCATCAGTTCTTTTACAACTACTGAATCCATCCCCTCCTGTTTAGCCCTACAGCTAGCTCTCCCTCCAATACACACACACACACACACACACACACACACACACACACACACACACACACACACACACACACGCACACACACACACACACACACACACACACACACACACACACACACACACACACACACACACACACACACACACACACACACACACACACACACTCACAAGGACAAACACTCTATCACTACTCACTTACGCACAGCCGATCTTTCTCTATCTATCTCTATTGTATCTCTATCTCTATCTCTATCTCTATCTCTATCTCTATCTGTCTCTGTCTCGCTATCTATCTCTGTCTCGCTATCTATTTATCTGTCTCGCTATCTATTTATCTCTCTCGCTATCACTCTCGATACTCACAAACCAAGAAAGTTGTGACAGCTTCCTCCGGTTTATATAGCCTAGACAATCTAGGATAGAAATAAATATATATAGCATGTATATATATAGCATGTATATATATAGCATGTATATATATATATATATATATATGTATATACATATAAAATAACAATTTCATCATATGGATTCAACTTGTGTCCCGCTCGACTTTTCTGTGGTTTACCCGTTACTGTGACATATCAGCCATGGACGATTGTTTGTTTCATTCTAAGCTATCCAGCAAGGTTAATTTCATTTATTTTGTATTTTTCCTCACAGTATAGAGTGTTGTTGTTGTGATGAGAGGGATGGAGGTATTTAATAAAAACCTTACTCGCTGGAGAATAGCTACAGAAGTCCTGTCACAACTTAATCGGAGAGGATCACAGCTTGCCACGGATCTCGATGCTGCATTCGGGCTGTGAGTAAACAACTTGTGTCTTACTTTTAGGCTGTCTGAAGCAACACACTCTCACTCCCTAAGCGTCCAGGAGCGACGCTTGGTCAGGGTCCCGTGGCGTCCAGTTGTGACGCGCCGAGGCTCCTTCAGCTTCATAAACCGACGCAAAGAGCTTTCAACTGATTGCAATGTATTCCCATCTGCGGCGGTATTTGACGCTTAGGGAAGCACGGCATTCGTTTGTGTCGGAGGCTGTTAAAGGCAATGTGAGCGTCCATTCCCATTGGATAACGGAGAATTGTACACCCGGAAGTAAGTATTCCCCTTACTGTCGATTGATTTGACAGTGATATCTCCACTACTCATCAACTCAAAAACACCAGATTATCCTTGTTAATTATACAACATTGATAGGTTTTAGTGTGTGTACAATGCTTTTGTCACGTTTTCCCCTTCGATTCTGAGAAACAAGTCGTTTTCTATGTGTTTTGGATGGCCGAAGACATGACATTACCCACAATCCTCTGTAGCAACCATAGACTGTATAACAAAATTAAATAATACATTATTCCGAGTGTGCTTGCTTTTCTCTTTGAAAGTCATCACATAACGGCATTGTAATATACGTTTCAGCTGCATTAAATATGACATATCTGCCGTAGTTAACTCTATGTATAGAGCCCTGATGACAAGACTTCTAGACAAACAGGAACTGCCGCCAAAACTGAAAACTTGACGTGGATCTTAAATATATAAGCAATTAAACAACATCTTACATTTCTTTTCACACAATACGTCTCCTTGCACTATCAACACTAATTCGGCTGACTTTTATATTTGATCCAATTGGTAGATAGGCTGTATTTACGCCATAACGGTGCACAGCTGATAGAAAGGGACACCTACTGGTTAAAGCACGTTATTGCATTTTATAATTTTATTATTAGATATTAATAGGAGGATGTGCAAAACAGACAAACTAATACGGCTTTATTTAAACATTAAAGAATACTTTAGGTTAAGGTCTTCTTTTGAATAAGAAAAAAGCTTTGGGGGTATAGAAGATGAATATGGAGGGATGAAACCCTCTTTGATGGTCACACATGCAGAGCACACAGCACACACAGTGAAATGTGTATCTACAGATAAATATTAAGCCTGACAAAGTACTTAACGTCTAATATATTGCTTTCCTGCAATGTTAACTATGTTTACGCACTTATTTTAACTGATATTATACATATGTATTATACTCTTATAAGATGTATGTAGATAGTATAAGAAATGTGCAGAAAATGACAGTTTAATGGTGGAGGTATAAACACATATTGATAGATGTCTTGTAATGCACTGTTGAGGAACCTGCGACCCAAGTTTTTCATTCATTGCATAACTACACCGTAGTTGTGTATAATATGATATGTCAATAAACCTTAGAAAATCTTGAAATCTTGAAAGGGATGTGCAAAATAGTCATTATATACAGTCTTTAATGTCAATAAACCTTAGAAAATCTTGAAATCTTGAATGGGATGTGCAAAATAGTCATTATATACAGTCTTTAATGAACTATTAGAGAATAACGACGAGTAAAGAATATACTTTATAGGGATCCTATTAATATCTAATAATAAAATTATAAAATGCAATAACGTGCTTTAACCAGTAGGTGTCCCTTTCTATCAGCTGTGCACCGTTATGGCGTAAATAGAGTCTATCTACCAATTGGATCAAATATAAAAGTCAGCCGAATTAGTGTTGATACTGCAAGGAGACGTATTGTGTGAAAAGAAATGTAAGATGTTGTTTAATTGCTTATATATTTAAGATCCACGTCAAGTTTTCAGTTTTGGCGGCAGTTCCTGTTTGTCTAGAAGTCTTGTCATCAGGGCTCTATACATAGAGTTAACTACGGCAGATATGTCATATTTAATGCAGCTGAAACGTGTATTACAATGCCGTTATGTGATGACTTTCAAAGAGAAAAGCAGGCACACTCGGAATAATGTATTATTTAATTTTGTTATACAGTCTATGGTTGCTACAGAGGATTGTGGGTAATGTCATGTCTTCGGCCATCCAAA